GAAGATGCTGGAGGACCACTGTATGAAGAAGTCTACTTCATCTCAGGCTAGGCCATTGAAGAAGTCTATTGGTCAAACAGTACAGCACACAGGTGAACATATTATTAAAGAGGTGAGTACACATTACATTGTATTATAAATGTATATCCATATCTAACTCTTTTATACTCAGTTATCAAACCTTTCTAAACAAGCAGGAACCTCTTCATTATGTATTATAGTCTGTACATCACCAAATGGCTCACATGCACCAGTTATACACTGTGACAACATATTAAAACAATTCTTACAGAGTGGACTTGGCAAGTCCCTTACTGAGTTTGCTAGCTTGTTTGAAGGATTTGCAATCTCTGGGTTGGAAGGACTTGCACATGCTAATGCTACAGCAAACCACACAAAGCAATGCATCGGCACGAAAGGTGAAATACGATCAATTATTCACAATAATCTATGTGAGTAATCAGCTCCATTACATACACATATTTTAATACATTATAGGCAAAATCACTGGTATTGAAGATATTACAATGAGTTGGTTGTACTACAAAGAAAAGATTGTCAAGGTACACAAAGTCAAACTTGTAGGATGGCCTAGCAACCTTTCATTCAAACTTGATGGTATGGGCAAAACAAACTTGAAACGTATCCTCACTGCAATTCAAGATGGGTCTTGTCATTGGAAACGTCTTACAATAGCAGAAATACAAGAGATCAACAAGACAGACGAGCCCCCAAGCAAGAAAGCAAGGACTCGATCCGATAAAGGAGTACCTAGGGGCCCTTACCGAAAGTCATCTGTACTGTGTTGCTGCAAAGTAAACAAAGGAGGGGCCAAAATAACTGTTCACTCTGACAGTAAGGAGTCTAACGATTCTAGCAAGACTACTAGCATGAGCAATTCTGATAGTGACTCTGGCAGTGCATCGGATAGCTCTTCTGTGGCTTTGGGCAGGGCATTTTAGTTGTTTCGATGATACTCAATCATTATTGTTACATAAGCATACTAGTGCGGAATGTTGCTTCTTGATGCATTGCTGACGTCTTCAAAGTGTTCACTGTAGTCCATTAACGTATGATACAATAGGGTTATACAGGTCATTCAATGCAATTTGATGTGTCTACCAGCTATTTATTAATTGGATTGTCTTGTGCATTTCGATTTCCGGCCTTTCTCTTAAGTCTATGTGACATAAAATAAGGCACTCACGCTTTGAAGTCTCCTGCTCCACCCCTGCCGACCACTGTTCTTTCTACTGCTACCGAAGACCGCTCTACCACACCGTCACCTTCACAGGATCGGAAGGCGACTCTGAGTCCGGCACAATATAGATTTTGTGTGTCGACAGTACGCAAGTTATGTAAGCTTAAGGACGCGACACCCTTTCTTAATCCCGTTGATCTGGTGGCATTTAACATCCCTCATTATCCGAGTATTGTAAAACATCCCGTGGACTCTGCAATCCTTTATTGCAAACTCGTTGCTTCTAATCCTGTGTAGCCTGATATTAATCCAGCAAACCCTCAATACCTTACTGTGGACAAGTTCATTACTGGCATGTGCCAGTGCAAAGCTTGTACATTACATAAAGCAGCAAAGACTACTGCTGACAAAGGCATGCAGCCTTGACAGCTCAGGGGACCTTAATTGAATTTATAAACAACATGATTCAGTATTGAAGGCAAACTTAATTTTGCCATTATTAAATTGTCCAAAGAAAATACCATTTATAGCATTTTTGTTATATTAATATGTATATGTTAACATCATAAATGAATATTAAATGATTTTATATGGACTTTAAAAAAAATATGGGCAAGAAAGGTGGAGAAATGAGGGAGATAGGTGAGCTCACTGTTTGAGACAGTGAGCTCAACGCGTGCCATGTTGAGCATGGGTATATCACGACGCGCGTGATGACAAAGACATGTAGGTAATGCGTGTGTGATGTGTCAGCTCATTGCTCGCAGGAAAGAAATAAGTAAGGCTTTTTTTATAATTCAGTGCAGTATTAAGCACAGTATGGGGAAAAGACCGAACTCCCTTCTAATTAGAGGGACTACAAGGGCCGTGTAACCCCTCTAATTAGAGTGGAGATAGCCCGTGCCTCAGGTGATTCAGTGCGCGATTCACCTGCGCGATTCACTTTCATGCAAAGTGAATCGCGGACCCCGGAACCCCAGCGATTCGGGGTGAATCGCGCTGAAAGGTGAATCGCACTTTGACGCGATTCGCCTTGCGATTCACCCCTGCGATTCACCTCTACTCATATCTATTTCCAAATATGTACATGTATTACAAAAATAAAACTAAGCTTCTTTTCACCTCTAAATTCCAAAAACAGTAAGATGATTTGCCTCTACAGCTTGTCGTGCAGATTTTATACGATAACAGCAGGTTTCTTTGTACTTGATAGGCATACTTGCAGATAAATATATGTATATGCACGAAAAAAAACTATTTCTTTAATTTTATATTATGTAATTTTAAGATCAAGGGTCGGTATATTGAGGTGAATCGCGCATGTACAAGTGT